TTAAGTGGGAGAACTTGCACAATTGGTGGCTGACTAAATACTTTTTTGCCCCACTATAGGTAAAAATTTAGGCTTTGTTTATGCAGCTATTCCAAAATCTATTAAATGTCTGGGGATTATTATTTTTAGGAAAATATCCTGTCTAGTAGATAAGAGCTTTGCAATTTATATTTCCCAGATGAGAGGGGATATTAAGATTTGTCTGAAGATATCTCTGTTTATAAGGAACATTAATGTTGCATCAAGATGGTTGGTTCCATTTAAATATTTTAAATAGATTGATAAATTAATAGTGAAATTTTCATGGAAGGAGCACATAACCAGGATTTCTTAAAGTTATAGTTTTTATACAACGACGGTGATTTTTCCAATGCCTGATTGACATTAACAAGAGCTAACTTGTTAAGTCAATCAGGTATTAGAATGAAAATTATATTGACTATTCACCATTGTTGGCTCAACTTATTATTTAGCACCCTTGAATTCCTGATTTAAAATATACTAGAAATTAAGTCTGATGGGCCTTACTGGGCAGAAATTAAATTTTTATTTTCATTGTCATTAGAAATTAACACTTTGGAGTACTTTTACTTAAAAATATCTGGCAACACTTTTTTATTTTGTAAATCATGGGCCACAAATGGGATTATTGCTCTTAATCAAATAATAAGCATCAGTATTTCTAAAACTCCTGAAATTCTGGGAAAGGAATATAATTTAGCCAAAGTGGTGAATGACAACTTATAGACCTATAGCTTTTCATATGTTCGGTGTTTGGCCCTGATGCCATACAGACTTTGGAAACTCCAGAGACATTGAGTAAACCCACAATTTATTAACATCAAGGGGTTTTTTTTAAGTATAAAAATAAATGTTCAAGAAATTTGGATTAGAGAATTAGACTATCCTGCATATCCAATATGCCTTCAGGTTTTGAAGAATGTTAGCTCTAAATATGTTTCATACGATTTAAAAACTTGGTTAAGCACAATAACTTTGGGGGTGTTATTGTGCCAATGAAAAAATATTGTAAAAATATGGGTACCATTGATTTTATGATGGAGATATAATGTTGAAAAAACAGTCTTCATGCTACATGTGACATAGACACGCCCACTGATAATTTCTTATCGTTTAGATATTATCTCTCTGGTGAACCATATTGTTGGAAGGAAGTTGAGAATCAAAGTGTTAATGGGCTGTTAATATATATCCTCCAGATTAGGAATCTCTCCATGTATAAAGATTAGTCTTTATATTGTGCTTGGACTTTTGCAAAAAGGTGCTTATGTAGTCATGGAAGGATGTTTATATATTAGAAAACAATTGGCTTAATGAAACTTTTCAACACTTGACCTTTGAATTGGCTTTGTGTCAAAGGAAAGGCAAGTTTGAAGAATATGATTCTGTGTGGCCTGGGTTCAGTTCATTGTTTAACAATTAAAAGATCATTTTAAAATTTAATTAGTAATAATAAGAGTTTGTAGGATAGCAGTGTAGGATAACAGGATATAATTTTGAAATTTGGATAGTTTGCAATGTTTCATTGTCTGTTTTAAGGTTTTTAGTTTGTTTACTTTGTTTTAGTTTTAAACATGTAGTTTATTTTATTATAGTTCTATTCTATGCATATGTATTTGTTACTAACATAAGATCTTTCAAGAGAATTTAACTGTAATATACTCAGGATGTTTGAAAGACTTCTCTTTGACTCAGTAAAGTACCCAGCTCTTTTTCCAACTCCTGCAGCTACTTCATAAACTACTTTACTCATAGACAGCTATGAATAGCTTACCAAGCAGCTCTGCATTGCAAAACAATTATTTTGAAGGATTGATACAACTAATATAACTATTTAGAAGTATAACGCTAGAATAATTCTATTTTCTATGCTTCTTTTGTTTATTTTGTGGTAAAAATCATGAAGGCACATGATAATACCAGTTCTGATCTTTTAGGAAGGCGATGTCCAACTCCACATATAGAAAATGGCAGAATAGTGTCCTCGAATGACCTGCGGCTTGGTGATCAAGTAACCTTTGGTTGTGATTTTGGGTAAGTGAGAGATCATTTGCTGAAGCAACTTGGCTTTGTAAAAAATATCTTTGGAAAGAACTGAAAAACATGTGTCATTAAATATTGGAATTAAAAATCTGAATTGTGAACTATTTATTATAATTCCTTCATTAAGTTACATTTTTTTCAAAAGTAACTTAAAAATAAAACGGGTTTACTGATGAAATTATTTAAGGGCAATATTAATATATAACTCAGTAAAATTCTGCCTATATGGCAGTAGGTGTTAATCACTCTGGGTTGTTGTGTGACAGAATCAAATGGAAGAGGCCCTGCTTCACCTGCCTACCTTGTCAGCACTGCAAATTACTGTCTTGCCTTACAAATGGATATTAAATTTAGTTTCAAATTGTGGGAAGTTGTTGAACTTAAATGGCTGTGTTTAACTACATTTCTGGCTAGCTTGATGTAATGATTGAAATTGGTGAGGCAAGAGTTCTTGATTCTCATGCTGAAAACAGCTGTTTGGAAAAAGAAGGAACAGATGATAAATTACTTTAAAGCCAAAAAAGAGCAGCTATAGACTGCTGGCTCAAAAAGGTGAGAAGAGGCCTGAGATTTGAAGTTTGGGATTGAGATAGAGCAGGTTTCTTCTGTGCTGGTATCCTCAGAAGTTCCTTATACGTGTAACTTCCTAAATCTCAGTAACCTTCTTGTATCTTCTTGGCAATGTAGAGTGGGGAGAGAGAGAGGAGCTGATAGCGGGGTGGGGGACAGGTATGAAGCTTTGAGATTGGTTTGAAGGTGAACCCTTCTGGTATGTAGCTCCTATCAAGTTCTGAGGATATGCTTCTGGGGCGTCTTACTAGGCAGATATGGACCAGTATTATAATGACTGGGTTTCTACATTTCAGTACATCATAATATGATTTGTTTGGTTTGGAGTCAGCTGTGGTGTGAACCCAGCCAGTTGTGGCTTATTTTAGAACTTGCAACTGAAGAATTCATGGCTTAATCTTAAACATTCTAAATTCATATACTAAAAGATAAGACTTTTTTCCCTTTAGGTTCAGAATAATAGGTGAATCCTCCCTTCAGTGTGTTTTGAGATCGGGCAAAGTTGACTGGAATAGAGAACTTCCACATTGCCAGCGTAAGATGATACTTTATTTTAAGCTTATTATGCTTCTTTTGGTGCTTTTAAGTTTAACTTCCTAATAGCAAAAGTTCAGTCTGCCTAGCCTTTAGTAGAATGATTATTTTTACCTGAAAATATGGGAAATGCCTAAATGAATCATGTCAATGGAATTTATCCACTGTATTCCTTCCTCCACTGTCTGAGTGGTGTACATATCCAACATTCCTAAACAAGGTGAAAATTACAAAATAAAAGTAAAAGCAGTAACGAAGTGCAGCAACATCCAGTATCTCAAGGAATGTGAATTGCATTAATCAAGCAAACACTTCACTAAAAGAGAGAATAACACTGCAATATTCCAATTCCCGAGGCCTGCAGGAACAGCCAGGTATTCATGGTTACGGCCATTCTCATCTCTGGGGTAGGGGGAATACTATTCCCCCTACCCCAGAAGGGTGGCAGCATTCCCCAAGAGAAGGGATATGAAAGGAGCCCATTCTACCAGATCCTGTTGGCCAGGTAGTTATTGGAGTAGGCAGTCCTTAGATAGGGCTTTAATGATGATACCAGCAAGTTGAATAAACTAATCACCAGTGCAGCTTTCAAAGTAGTAGTTATATGGGCAAAATAAGATGCACCCATAACTATTTGCACTTTTGCACTTCTGCATTTTGGACTAGCTGTACCTTCTCAGTGATCTTCAAGGACAGTCCCATGTACAGTGTGTTGCAATAGCTCAAGCAACTGAGAAGAGCCGCCTGTTCCAAGAGAGGTTGAAACTGAGAACGCAATATGGCACTGTGGAAAGGCTCTACTAGCCACAGCTGTCATATGTTCCTTGAGGAGGAGCCGTGAATCAGGAGTGCTCCCCAGATTATGAACTATCTTGGACTAAGGAATACCGCCCCCCCCGCCCCCCGGAATCAGATGCCTTCCTAACTCAGCTACTTCATCTTGCTTAGATTAAGCTTTTTCCTCCTCATCTAGAACTCTACCCCCCAGGCACCAGGATAGCAATATCACCTGTAGAGCTTCAATTTAAGATGTAAAATTAAGCTTAATCTGCATACTGATGATACCTGACTCTGTGCTGACAAATGACTCCCCCCAGTGGCTTCACATAGTCATTAAATAGCACCATCAAGGGTCCTCAGGCTTGATCTTTTCCCCTGTCACCACTACTGGTACCAGTTTAAAGAATATGAGGCAGAATATCCTCACTGTAGTTAGCTTTAACCTTCTCTTCAGATTACAGTGTTGCCAGACTGAAGACCAAGTCCTGAAAGGGGCTTCTGCTCATGTTTGTTTAAATGTGAATAGAACTCTGTGCAACTAGGGATTCTGCTTTATCAAGGTCTCCAATCTTGTGCATTCTACTCACAGTAAAACAAATGCAGGTATACTTTTTAAAAGGTAAAGTTGATTGCCCTAATGGTTCAAATTGGGTTAGATGTAATTACATCAGCAATGGTATCCAGAGTGTTGCCTTCTCCGGTTGTATTGGATGAGTTCCAATTATTGCATCTTAAAATTTTGGATAAGTTTGACAAATAACTTGTATGCTCATATCCTGGCTGGTTAGACCTAGGAGGGGATATTAGATTTCATCCTTGAGGTCAGTCATTCATTGCTGAAAGAGGAAGAACTATCAGACTCTTGCAAAGAGCAGTAATCTAGCTGCACCTGAGGTATGTATTTACAGCATGGCCTTTCCTGGATTACCATGCTTAACTGAATGGTTGTCAAACTACTCAAGACATAACTGGCTGCTGAAAATATATTCAGATTAAGATAGAAGTACATATACATAGATGGCTTTAATATAAATCAAATAGTGTTAGATCAGATATTAAAATACTGCAAAGAGACTACCTCTCAGCACCATCTAAATATGGCTATTGATCCTTCTAGGCCAGTTTCTCAACCTTAGGAACACTAAGAAGTGTGGACTTCAACTCCCAGAATTCTGGGAGTTGAAGTCCATACATCTTAGAGTTGTCAAGGTTGAGATATAGGCTAATAATGTCAATCCTGGCTTCAGAATCTGACATAATATTGAATGAACTCTCTATGTATATCTGTTTATGTACTACTGTAAGGTACATTAACCTCTACTATTTATTTACGGAGTGAGAAAAATGTATCTTCACCATAACTGCAACCCTGAAATTCTAAATAGGATTATGCAAAGCTTTGAAGAAGTGCTAGATTAAATCACCCTGTTGCAGCAGATTTGTGTATTGAATCAAATGTTTTTGAAGCATTTCATAGATTTGATAGCATTTTTGCTACTTCTGAGGTTGTTAAAGACAATATTGTAACTTCATTTCTGTATCTGGAGAATGATAAGGGAGCTTGCATGGTTTAATGCTATATTACTCAGTAACCAGCCTGTGAATTTTATATGAGGGTGAGGGGTGGGGGAAGTTAGTATTGATTTGGGTTTCCTTCACTTTCTTGGTTTCTTAAATGTGTCCAGCCACATTTAACTTTGCTCTTTTTTGTGCTAATGGAATTATACACTTCTGTGTTGCTCCTGTTAATAGAACAGGGAGTTCTGCTCAGCTCCCTGTATTCTGAGCTCAGCTCTTCATACTCTGAGCATGGGCTTAGGGCTGATCAGTTCCCCACACACTCTTGAGTCAAACCTTACTTTTACATTCTGTACAATTGGAAGAGGTTTATGTCTCTCAACAGTGGATGAATGAGTACTAGGCTCACATTTATAGATTCTGGTTTAAATATTTACTGGTTTTAGGCAAGGCTTTGAAGCCCACTTGTTCTGTGTCAGCCTCTTTGTTGTGCCCTCTCAGTCCTTGCCATTATATGTTACTGTACCAGTTTTCTTCTGCTGCTGCTTCTCATTCACTTTGATGAATGAGGAAGGTACAACTCCTAACCACTCAGTGCTGCCAGTGAGAAAGGGTCTTTCTCAGGGGAGGCCAAGCCTAACACCTGGCTATGCCAACCCTCAGCTCTTCCAACAACACCCAGCAATCAGAGTTGCTAAACTATGCCATCCACAAGGCAGTGGGCACCCCTCACTGTTGTGCCAAGACTGGTACAAGAAAGGCAGGCAGTAAAGTAAGCTAAGTAGGACACTTTCTGCCTTAGTTCAGCACAAAATGGGCTCTTCCCTGAACAATTTGGAGGCCGCCATATGCTGTCTTTTCCTAATTTGTACTATCCCTGGCTTAAGTACCGGAGAAGATCATTTAAAAATGATTGCAGTGGAACTAGGAATCTTTGGAGATAACCAGTTGAACCTTGGCATGGTTCATGTCCACTGAAAAGACTACTATTCCTGCTATTATCCCATTCTGCCAAAAAAGAAGCAACTGCAGGCATTTTAATGCTTCCCCATTATAATTTATGGATGAATCCTTTTTTGAATCACAATCTTGCATTAAATCCTGCCTCCTCAAATCTCAAATTTCAAGGCCAAATCAGATTAGGATAGATTAACATAATCTAGACTGACAAACCTTCAGCCTATGGCTCTTCTACTGTGAGCTTTAACTGCCACCCAATGCAGTTAGTGTGATCACTTCTCTTGTATGAAGTATGCACTTTTGTTGCATTCTGTCAAGAGATGCATAACCTACACATTATTTGCAGAAGAAGAATGTACTTTTTCTAACTTAGACTTACATGTGGAAGAGATCCTAAATGGGAAGACCACTTTGCTAATAAGAACTTTATGAAGAAATCCCACCCAGGAGCAGGACAGCAGATATTTATTTGATATGAATATTGTCCCTGGCACCAGAAGAGTGACTTTGGTGTTCTGGTTGATAGAATGTTTTCCAAAGATGTGTATTTACCTGATTGATTCAAGTAATTAATTCAAGCAGCTACATATCTTACAATGAAATAATTTAAATCCGATGCTTTGCAATTCTAGCCTAGTTGAATCTGTTGATTTTCTTCTCCAGGTATTCCTTGTAATCGCCCTCCTTTAATTTCCAATGGAAGGTATGATTCTAGCCCTTCAGATGAATATGATGCTGGCTCAGCAGTTATATATCGATGTGATGCTGATTACACCCTTATTGGAAATTCAACTATTTCATGTACAGTTGCAGCAAATGGTGTAGATGGAATGTGGGATTCACCTCCACCTGAATGTAAAAGTAATGGAATTTCATGTTCTTTACCTTAACTTCAGTATGCAAAATTGCTTCTTTTGTTGTTTTCCATCAGTAAAGTATGTTCTTCCTGGAATCTGGTAATTCTGTCTTCCAAGCATTGTGCTGTTGTGGATTACCAAGTGAGAATTGTCCAGTTGAAACTAGTTCCCACAGGGTAGTATTGAAAGAAATGCAAACATAGTTGGCTGGTGTGGGTCTTCCGGGCTGTGTGGCCGTGTTCTTGAAGTTTTGTTTCCTAACATTTCGCCAGCACCTGTGACCTGCAAAAGGTCAACGAACTCAGCTCAACCACCAGGACATGTGAATAGTTCACAAAATGAACTTGTTAACGAGGGGCTGCTGGGGGTGATTAGCAATTCAATAGAAGAAAAAACGCCTAATCCCCAGGAAGATACACACAGATGCTGACACCAAAACA